CTCCCAGCGCGAGGAAGGTCCCGCGCGCCTGGTCCCCGCCCTCTCGCGCTGGGGGCGTTTGGCGCGCGGAGCCTGGGCTGCACGCGCTGACGTCAGCGCTGCCCCGCTCAGTAGCAGTCAGGTCCCGGGGCCCGCGCTGCTAGCTCAGGGGCTGGCAATGGTTCTCGGGGGGGAGGGGCATTTCGTGGCGTTTGCCATGGCCCTGGGGCACGACTGGGGAGTAGCCTCCCGCCAGCCTTCTCTGGAGCTTTGCATTAAAAACCTAGCAAAGGGGCTGACAGCGCCTGGCCCCAGGGCAGCCGCCCAGGGTTGCTCAGTCAGGTCCCGGGGCCCGCGCTGCTAGCTCAGGGGCTGGCAATGGTTCTCGGGGGGGAGGGGCATTTCGTGGCGTTTGCCATGGCCCTGGGGCACGACTGGGGAGTAGCCTCCCGCCAGCCTTCTCTGGAGCTTTGCATTAAAAACCTAGCAAAGGGGCTGACAGCGCCTGGCCCCAGGGCAGCCGCCCAGGGTTGCTGCAGCAATTTTAAGGGCTCCCCTGCCAGGGTAGCACCACAGCTGGGAGCCTTTTAACGAGGATCCTGCTACCTGAGTCACCGTCTGGAAACTTGATGGCATGGGCAGCACAATATAAAGAGAAAGTGACCAGATAAGGTCCATGGGGGCAACATCAAAGTGTTAAGCAGCATCTTGCTTGCCCAGCCTTGATCTAGCCCATCCTGTCTAACCTGCTCTTAAATCTCTCCAGTGACAGCTACACCCTCCTAAGACAGTTTTTCAGTGCTTAACCACCCTGACTGCTAGGAGGTTTTCCTACTGTCTGACCTAAACCTCCTTTACTGCAATTTAAGCCCATTGGTTTTTATCCTATCATCAGAGATTAAGACAAGGTTTTTTTTCCTACTTGTAACACTTTTAGGTACTTGAAAATGCCTCATGTTCCTCTCAGTCTTACCTCTTTTCCAGTCTAAACAAACCTTTGAAATTTTCATATCATCTGCTCCTTTTTCCCACCCCCTTCCATTTCCCCCCATCTTCTCCCCTATTTATTTTGGGTCTGCACAACCTAAACTCAAAACTCGCATCATCTGAAGAAATGGGCTATGCCCATGAAAGCTCATGATACCATCTACATGTTTTGTTAGTCTATAAAGTGCTACCAGATCATTTGTTGTTTTTTTAAGTTCATCCAATTCTTTCAGTCTTCCCTCATAAATCATGTTTTCTAGACCTTCTTGTTGCTCTTCTGGATGTTCTCCAGTTTCTCCACATCTTAAGCATATAGCAGTTTTGACAACTTCTCATTAAAATTACTAGTTCTAGAAATTAAGTTTGAAAGTTGGGATTGCAGATAGTGTTTCCTCTAATCTTTTCCATCCTGTACAGAGTTTTTCCATCCATGTGTGCTATATATTTGTGCAGTCAGGCATGTGCACCCCCAACAGAGACAATATCTAGCTGTGGGCATTCTACTAATCAGCTGGGTGGCATTTTATTTTCTCCTGAGCAGCCACAAAAGTGCACAGTTAACAGAAAATACTACTTCCAGGGCTGCTTTCAGATAACCTATAGCACTGAGTTCTAGCATCTGTGCTGATAAAAATGTAAGAAATGAAAGCTGTCCCAAAAAAATAAGGCATGGTCTTATATAAGTAATCTGCTAATATGCTTGGCTACTGTTGGAAAGCTGAGAATCCTAGTCATTAACTTGATTTTTTTGGAGACAAATATAAGGAATAATGATAGTCTAAAAAAGTCTCTTTTTTGCATAGATCTGAATATATATGAGTCCCAAACCATGGCCTTGTGACTCTTCATTTCCTGAAAAAAAAATTTTCTTATGGTTCAAAGACTATGAGCCCGCTTCTGAAAAGCAAGCCAATTCTTTGAAGTTAATGACTCATGTTTTTGCAAACCTTTTCCCGAAAAGAACAGTATATTCTTTTTTGAAAGCTAATACTATCTTGTTCAAAATTAAGTATTATCTAGGCTTTCTAAGACATTTGATGCTCTTATTTCAGAAGTATTTGTACTTAGTAGTAAAATGGATGCCAATTACATGAAATTTACATACTCTTTTTTTTTTCTTTCTACATTTCAGGGCAACTGTCAGTAGAGGATGTGGCTACCATGGTATTATGCAAGCCAAAATTGTTGCCTTTAAAATCTGTTACCCTAGAAAAGCTAGAGAAAATGCAGCGAGACGCACAGGAAACAGTTCGCCAACAAGAAATGGCACAAAGGGAGCATCAGCAACAAAGCCAGCAATAGAGTGCAAAATGATTCACCCCTTTTAAGAAATATTTTACCTAAATACTGTATCTTAATCTAGTCATTTGCTGTACAGTTACTAAAAAAAGAGTTCAGAAATGGTAGAAGTCCCTTCTAAGCTTTCTTAGTTGGTGTCTTTTATTGTACATATTACATATTACAAATGTCTATAGATTTTGCTGAAGATGTGTGTTTTGGTTAGTATGCTTACCCCTTTCTGCGCAGTTGCATCTCAGCTTTTTTTTTTAATCTCTGTATTTGTGTGTTCCTCCCCCGGAAATCAGCATTTTAAAAGGCCATTTACAAAAAATGATCTGGGGTCTTCTAATGTTTTGCTGATGGTCTCATCTGCCATACCAAGATGTTAGGGTGGAAACACTCTGACAAGAGGAATGGGTATTTGTTAAAATCCCTAATCAGTTCCCTTGTTGCTGGCTAACCCCCACAATCTGCCTGCCTGGATTGTCCTGCCCCATTTCCAGTGGTCCCTGTTGAACAGGCAAGGTCTTTGTTCTAATCAGTAGTGCTGGGGCTTTTGTAATAACCCTTGTTTCTTTAACAGATTTGGGATAGGTAATACCAATACAGCTACTCATTCCATTACTCTTGAACAGGTATATAAATCGTTCTGGGGCTCTGGACAAGGTTTGCTAGAAAAGCAGGCTGCTGCTTTAACTTACCACAAAATGGCATATATCAGTTCTAGGATAAAACTGATAGGCTACGTCTAGACTGGCATGATTTTCCGCAAATGCTTTTAACGGAGAAGTTTTCCGTTAAAAGCATTTTCAGAACACAGCGTCTAGATTGGCACGGACGCTTTTCCGCAAAAGCACTTCCGTGGCAAATCTAGACACGCTTTTCTGCAAAAAAGCCTCGATCGCCATTTTCACGATTGGGGCTTTTTTGCGGAAAACAAATCTCAGCTGTCTACACTGGCCCTTTTGCGCGAAAGTTTTGCGCAAAAGGGCCAGTGTAGACAGCTGAGATTTGTTTTCCGCAAAAAAGCCCCAATCGTGAAAATGGCGATCGAGGCTTTTTTGCAGAAAAGCGTGTCTAGATTTGCCACGGAAGTGCTTTTGCGGAAATTCAAACAGCTAGTGTAGACAGCTGGCAAGTTTTTCCGGAAAAGCGGCTGATTTTCCAGAAAAACTGGCCAGTCTAGACACAGCCATATAGTTTTTGCTTCATGATTGAAGAAAAATACATTCTGATTTGGAACACTTACTCATTAAGGGTCACACAGACATCAGAATTTGTGATTTATAATCAAGAGCTGTGCAAGGGCAGTCACCTTTGTTTTCTACATTGAAACCATAGCAGAATGGTATCATTAATGTCATCCAAATGTTTGCATCTCCATTATATCTCAATGAATCCATAATAGTATCTAATGCCAAAGTGTGATTAAAAAAAAAAGAAACCTATTCTGAAGCATTTTTAAAAGAAGCAGTGAAAGAATAAATATATATGGAAAGACTCAGTTTCAGCAACATGAATAAATAAGATGTCAGGGCTTACGCAAGTTAATTTTGGAAAAGCAATAGCATACATTATAGCTAAGAATTAAATCCCTGGCAACAGCTTTAAACTGAAATTTTTAATTAAAAAACACATTAATTGCACAGTTAACAGTATGGGGGAAATTTGTGATTAAATGCCTTTTCAGTTTAATTATTCATGAATCCTCTGCATAATACTATGCAAAGGGTACTTTCAGACATGTATTTTACTAGCACCTGGATCAAAGGTTATCTGCAGAGGAACTGAAGAGCTTTCCAAAACTGTTCATATAAAACAAAGGAAAAGGATAGTTTTACAAAAATTTATTTTGTAATACATTCTACCAGAACTGTTCATTTTTTTTCCAGTTTTGTAGAAAAATAGATGTTCCAGCCACCTTTTACTGCACTAGTCTTTAAGACCAATCAGTGCATTCTTTCCCTGGAAAAGATGAATACATCTTATGACCAATCCATTTTTTAGATTCTTTAAAGAAATAACCATTTTTCCTCCCAAAGCACAGCATTTCAACAGCAGCAGCCAAAATGAGGTTACAGCAGCTTAACTTGACCTCCTCTATAATAAAGCTTTGTATAAACCAGTGATTTTACTACAAAAACACTGTCTTTGAAGGAAAGGAGTGGCAGTCAGACATCAATGCAGAACATGGAATGATTAGGTCATAAACATATGGCACTTACAAAAGGGTAGCTTATTTGAAGGCACCACCACAGAAATGTGGTTACTTGTTATGTTCTACTATATGCTGAGAGAAAAGTTTCCTTCCCGAATAAAAATTTACAAAACTATTTCAGAAATGATTTGTACCCAAAACAAGTGCTTTTAAAAAATATGAACTGTGCTAAGCAACTCTTACAATTTAGATAAAGAATATATTTTCCCCCTTTAAACATCTAAAGGCTGCAAGAGTTGGTTCCTGTACTCAGTAGCTTTCTAGTTTAAGACGACCTCCATCTCCTTCACTTACAAAGCGCTTCCTTCCCCTGTAAGGAAAAACAAAATGCATGATTATAAATTTCACATTAGTGTCAATAGTCTTTCCTTATTTACCATAGCGTAGAGTGATCCCCTGTACCATTAACAGGTTCTGGTAGTAACATGAAGAGGGTAATATTATCTGATTAAGAATTTGACATCTGAAAAGGTCACAATCTGAATATTCTACACAGAACACCATTTGGCTGTGTCTACACTGGCCACTTATTCCAGAAAATCAGCCGCTTTTCCGGAATAACTTGCCAGCTGTCTACACTGGCCCCTTGAATTTCCAGAAAAGCATTGACGATCTACTGTAAAATCATCAGTGCTTTTCCGGAAAAACTACGCTGCTCCCATTCAGGCAAAAGTCCTTTTCTGGAAAACTGTTCCGGAAAAGGGCCAGTGTAGACAGCACAGATTTCTTTTCCGCAGAAAAGCCCCGATCACAAAAATGACGATCGGGGCTTTTTTGCGGAAAAGCGCGTCTACATCGGCACAGACGCTTTTCCGGAAAAAGTGCTTTTCCGGAAAAGCATCCTGCCAATGTAGACGCGCTTTTTCTGGAAATACTTATAACGGAAAACTTCCGTTTTAAGCATTTCCGGAAAATCATGCCAGTGTAGACGTAGCCGTTGTGTATTTATAGTAGCCTCTCAAAACTTGCCCCTCAAGCTTCTTAATAGGCATAATACATCCTTCTCCCTTTCTCAGAATTCCACATGAGAATTAGAACCTGAGAAAGATGCTAGTGTGACACCAAGATATTGCAGCTCTTTAGCCAAAGATCAGGAGTAGTACAAAGTCATGCAAAAGCATCCTTTCCTACACTGCTATTAGGCCTCAAGCTCAAGTGGGAAGAATAATTTCAAAGGGTATGTCTACAGTAGGAAATTATTTTGAAATAATAACTGTCAAAATAACAAAATCAAATAGAGTGTCTGTACTACGGGGGAGCCTTGAAATTAGTCCGAGGCAGGCTCTGTTATTGTGGATGTGCTACCTCAACTTAGAGCCCCAAGAAGCACTAGGAAGTAATTACTTAGAATTACTTTGGAGAGTAGTTATTTTGAAATTGCAGCAGAGGAGAGTCCACATTAATGTTATTTTGAAATAACTATTTCCCAAGGAAAACTGGAGTACAAATTTCAAAATGACCAGCTTTGTAGTACGGATGCTCTGCTTATCATTTCAAAATAAAGGGGATTATTTCAAAATAACTCCCTACTGTAGACCAGGACTAGGCAAGAAAATTATAATCCTCTTCACATTTTATACAGCCTTCCAATTACAAATCTCAAAATGCTTTGCAGACATCAATCTGGGGAGGTGAGAGGTTTAACTAAACTTTGCAAAAAAGTTATTTTGAAAGTGCTGCTAAACATAGTAACTAACATTGAAGAATAATGGAGCTTTACATTTTAAATGATTAAAAAACACCTATAGGTGATAATATATCAGTTTAAACTTAATGAATTTAACTCTTCAAAGAGGGACAATTTTTAGTCCCTAGTTTATGGATGTTGGTTCTGTCTGGGATGAGAATAAAAAAATCCCTGAGTTTATTGCTGTTAGGAAGATAGGCATATACTGTGGGGTTTTTTTAAAGGACTTTTTTTTAAAAAATTTGATCTGCTGAAAATTAATTTCTGTGTAAGAAACCTAACTCAGGGGCCAGCAACCTTCAGCATGTGGCCTATCAGGGTAATCCACTGGCAGGCCAAAACTCATTTTGTTTGCTAGCTAAAAGGAGGTCTTCATTGAGAACACTGATGTCTTTGTGCTCTCAGTTCTGGTCTCCAGACCTGCAATTACAGGGAAAATCCTGCAGTAGAGTATGCAAAGTGTAGATGGAATCTTTAGGGAATGTAGCTGTTAAAAACTTATCTAAAAAAGTATGTGTGAACTGAATTTTCAAAAGCTTATAAAATTGACCAAATTTGGGCAGATCTTCACTAGGGATGGAAAAATACACATCCCTGAAAAATGTCCACATCCTGCCAAATTCCTGCTCCAAAGAATGGGAGCTTCAGAGCTCTCCAAAGAAAGAGTTGCTATGATTTTTTTTAAACATTGATCAAACACAATGTATTATTTCATAGGTTCATTTTCAGCAACTGCACTACCCTTTTGGCTGATATTTTCCAAAACAATTCAGCCTGAGGCAGACATGAAATGTTTCAATCTAAATGCTTACAGTTTGGCAAAGTTCTACACATCTGAAGACAAGGTCTTATAACAGGAAATGTCAGGCAAACTTAATATACCAGCTTTGTTTACAGTTATATGAAAAGTACCTTGAAGGACAGAGGTCTCTCAGTGGTTTAGAAATGATTCCAGCCTGAAAACATTCCTCTACAAACCGCTCAAGCATCGAGTATGAATGTGGCACATCCAGGTTAATATCTGGGATTTCACGGTAAACTCGTTCATAACCCTGCAAGAGCAGTGTTAGAGTAATGAAGTTACATTTTGCCACAAGAGAGGTTACTCTTTTATACTCTGAGGGTATTATAATAATCCAAGTAATTTTTTTTAAAGTATTGAAAATAATTTCAAGGGATCTACACTACCTCAGCTGCAAGTTAACACCATGCTATAGACCACAGTATCCCCAAATGTATCTACTTACCTAGGTAGATGTACTAATTGACTCTTAAGGTTCCCCAAAAATTAGAGGAC